TATATATCTTGTTTATAGTATTTTCTAATGGGCAATAGCTCATCTAAAACTAACAACATTTCAGGAAATGATGGTGTGATTCTGCCAAAGTGACTAGGCGATGGATATATTTTTTTTTGAAGGGGGCATGAAGGCTCAATGAATGTTAATTGCTAAAACTCAGCAGCTATTTTTGTGGTTTGGGATTGAATTTTCATTTTTGTGTATTCAAGAATTAACCTTGATAATGTGTATGCCATTAGGGCACTATACTTTTCTATTCTCTCTCTTCTTGAACTATTACTATTACTTTATACATGTTAATGTAATAATGACGTAATTCACTTGGAATAGTTCAATGAGAAAGAAATTATTTTGAGTTACGGACTATATCCTCTTATGGCATTCACTACATCAAACTGAAAATATTTATTGTTTTCAAATCACATAATGATGGATAAATTTAGGGCCGTTGCAGATAATGACTAATCCAAGACACCAACCAGGGACATACTTTAAAAAATATAATTTCTAATTTTCAAAAAATTGTTCGAAGAGAAAGAAATTATTTTGAGTTACGGACTATATCCTCTTATGGCATTCACTACATCGAACTGAAAATATTTATTGTTTTCAAATCACATAGTGATGGATAAATTTAGGGCCGTTACAGATAATGCCTAATCCAAGACACAACCAGGGACATACTTTCAAAAATATAATTTCAAATTTTCAAAAAATTGTTCCAAAAATTAGTAACATGAGTTCAGTTCTATCAATAGTAAATCCTTAAATAAACTTGATCCACGCTTTTTCACCATTAATCACATTATCAATATTATGATCACTACTAAACGTTGTCTTATAATTAATCGTATATTCACTACTTACTATCTCACTCCCATGTAGTTGTCACATCTATAGTTCTTTATCTTTGTAAGGCTAAAGAGGAAACACATCACACTAAAATTATAAATGCAAGGTGCAAGATACATAATGCAGCTGACAAAAGATGATTTGGATAATCATAGGCCACAATAATAAAAAGAGTACCAATGAAGTTGGAGTCAACCTATGAAAGAGTTGCTCGACTCTGAATCCTGCTTTTGGTCAAGTAATGCATCATAATTTATTCAGCAGGCTATGAGCATCTTAAATATTTCATTATATAAACCAAAAAAGAAAAAGAAAAAAAGCAATGTCTTATTCTATGCTACAAAAAGTAGAACCTAACCTGACAATGATCACCATTCAATGGTTGGTTGGAACGAATTATCTAATGGAGATCGGTGTCCAGTAATTCATAAACAATGTAGACATTATTGAAGTTCTCCTTTAGTGGCGGCCGTATAATATCTTTGATTGTGATGACCTGAAGTACAGAAAAAATTGAATTGCAATAGAATAGCAAATGTAACATTTTAAGCTTTTAAAGAAACTAAGATAATCATGGTGAACAACATAAGTCCATGCACGGAAAATGAAAGCAATTTACAAACTGAAGATATCTCAATAAATAAAAATTCTCCTAAAAACATGTATTAAAGTAGCTCTACATTTAGTGTTTTTTTTTTTTTTTTGAATTTTTAAAATTTAAAATTTTGAATTTATTAATTTTTTTTTTAATAATGAAAAGCATTTATAATCCATAAGCAATGAGTTCAAAGTATATTTCAAATCTATGTTCATAAAATCTTACAATTTTAATTCACGATGCGCTTATTGATTTGTTAACTATACTTACAGTTAGTAGGATCTAAACCCACATCTCTTGTGATGAAAGGCTCTATTTTGTTTTTTGGTCATATCTTTCATGATAACTACTGCGTGTCGTATAAAGTGAAACATGGTCAACGATTGGCGTACGTGCGTAGTGTATATTTGATGTATTAATAGCATGCCCTATGCGTGTCATAGAAAGTTTCATTATTTACGGCCAATATTACAAGCTGTAAAAAATTTATAATTATTAGCATTAACAGCGTAGGCGATTGACATGCCGTTGTTATGATACTATTTAACCATATGCAAAAAAAAAATAGTCATGAAAGTGAAACATTACGACTTGCATTTATTATATGTCGTTGATGTGATGCCGTAAAAACCCAATTTTGTTCATGAATTGAGCACCCTCATTCACTCGATCAAAGATTGCCCTCTACTAATTTATGATATGAGAATTATTAACACGATATGCCCATATAACCCATTTATTATTATTACTATCTATACTATGTGAGACATATAAATATAGATCAAATCATCTATTTTGCTATGCTTTAATCTCTTATTATTTTGAAAAGAGTTTGACAAGCAGAAATCTCATGAAAAATTAAGACATCCGCTATGCAAAAAGATTGAAACCATTCCAACTTAGGCAATGAGACCTCCACACAATGAGTAGTCATAGAGACAGAGTAAATAAGCAAATAGCCTTATGTTGGCATGCTAGACATAATAAGAAGCAATCACAAGCGGGATGCAAAAATTAAAGAAACTCACTTAGTACTCCTCTGCACCATGCCGGGAGCATAAGGGGTTAGAAAACAATGCATGATCCGAAATGTTGAATTAAATGATATGTGGAGAAAGGGTTTAGAGATGCTCACAGGGTACTCTAGCCAAGCGAAAAAAGAAAATGGTCTAAATAGAAAATGCATGATCCTAGTGGTGATATCTAATGCAAAATCCACACACAATGCGTCCTAAGGGTTTGGACACTATCAAGATGGCATAAGAAATGACAAAATGCACGCCACGTAATTAAACTAAACATAATGGTCCAAGCTCGGATGCATGCTTCTATGCTATTCATGCAATTATGATGATAACTAATCAAAAGCAAAAATGTAAGGAGAATAAAGAGTGAAGGTAAGTAGAAGAGAAACCTTCAATAAGAACTAAGAAAATGACAAGATAAGATAAAGAAAACGACAACCACTACAAGAAATTGCATTTTTCGCAATACAAAAAAATATGTTGCTAAAAGGGAAAATTTGTCAGCAAAGAGTTTTGCCGACACACAAAGCTACGTTGGCAACCCGTAGGCAAAAGTGAGTCAGCAAAAGTTTTTGCCCACGAAATTATCATTGCGTTGGTAAAAGAAATGCCTTTAGCGACAAACATAGTCGTTGATAAAAGCCTTTATCTATCGTCGGCAATTTACCTTGCGTCGGTAAAAGTAGTTCAAATATGATGAAAGTGTGGCACTTTTCCCGATGCAAATTTGCGTGGGCAAAAAATATACTTTTAGGAACAAAATATGAGTTGGCAAAAGTAAACTTTTGGCGACACATTTACGTCAGTAAATGATGCCATTTGCCGACGATTTGTTTGTCGATAAAGCTTTACTTTTGTCAACGACAAATTGGCATTGGCAAAAAATACACTTCTAGCAACACAATATGAGTGGGTAAAAGTAAACTTCTGGCTACACATTTACAACGGTAAATGTTGTCATTTGCCGACGATTTGTTTGTCGACAAAGCATTACTTTTGGCAACGACAAATTGGCATTGGCAAAAAATACACTTATAGCGACACAATATGAGTGGGCAAAAATAAACTTTTGGCAACACATTTACTGACAAGTTGTTTGTCGAGAAAACTTTACTTTTTAACGACAAATTTATAGCGGCAAAAATAATTGAAAATCATTTATATTTTTTTATAAGATTTACAAATTTACAAGAGGCATCCCTCAGGCACCACTATTACAAACTAATAACATTGATATGGAATCGCACAAAATACCCCCTCTATACCCCCTCCATACCATTCCAGCCAAAACACCAGCAGTTGCCCAAATTTACACCTAATGACAACCCCCATTAATGAAAACTTGATCTATTACAAATTGGACAAAAAGTCCTGCACCCTTCCAAACATCAACAACACCAGCAAACATCCAATAACAACACAACAGCACCTCATCACAACAAACACCATCACAGTAGCATCACCACGGCATCTCAACAACAGCAGCAACATCACAGCAGCACTAGAAGAATAGTAGATTAGTATAGCAGATCAGCAAATAAATTCAACACAGATCATCACCAGTTCAAAAAACCATTTCAACTTAGCAACCCAAACCAAATCATATAACCAAATCAGAATTGACGTAGCAGTTTGCCTCATTTACCAGAACAGTCAAAAAACCAATCAAACAAAACCAGCAACAAAACAACTCAACCAAATCAGAAGTCAGGACAAACAGATTGCATCAATCAAAAGCCCCAGCATCAGCGGCAAAGCACACAGAACATAGCCAATCAGCACCAGATTCAACGCAACACAACATCATGGCACAAAAGTATCCACCAAACAAGCTTGAATAATCACCAACCATTTCCACACCTTAGATATTTTAACTCAACCATTTTATATTTGAGACAATCTAATGAATGGAGTAGAAACACCCCATATCATAAGACTTCAACCATTGTAATTGTCATTTTACTGGGACTATGTTGCTCAAGAAGGGTTTCCTATGTACGAACAAAGTACTGATGATGATAGCCACAGTAATTGTCAATCATTGTCTGATGATAATTGTGAAAGTGATTATATGTTATCAGATTCTGAATCTGATAATAGTGATGGATCTCAATCTAGTGGTAAGGGTAAGGGTAAGGGTAAGAAAAGACAGTTCGAGGTTGGCATGCTATTTCCTAGTATTAACATGTTTAGAGATGCCTTACGGGACTCTGTCGCTCAAGAAGGGTTTCAGCTTGTATGGGACAAGAATGAGAGAACAAGGATTTCTGCTCACTGCGGTAGCTAGGGCTGTCTGTGGAGAATTCATGCCTTTCTATTGCCTGATGGCATCACTTTTAAGATCAAGACAAATGCTGTAAAATTTTAAAAAGACCAATCGCAAGCTATGTATCTCAAAACATCAGTCATTAAATGTGTGTATCCCAACCTCTAGAAAAACCACTAAAGAAAAGTTATGCATTTGTACCTTGAGCCGATTATCAAATTTGGAGACGACAATTACTGTCTGTCTAAATGTTGGTTCACTTTCTATTAGTCCTCATTCCGTAAGGACCAAGTTTTACATATGGATCAGCCAATCCTGAAAAACAGTTACAGACTTCCAGTTATTATGCATATACTTGGAATATTCGCTATGGTTTGTAAAGGTAAATATTGTAGCTTGAACCAACCATGCAAATCTGCAGGCTTGAGGTCAGCTGCTTCAATAACTTCCATCAAGGCATAAGCAACAACTGGCTTCTCCTCATACACACAGGACGGGTTTTCTAACGCATGAAATAATTTAAAGATTAGAAAACCTTCAAGTATCTAGAAAAGGAAGAAATGACAACATAGAATTATCAAACTCATGTAATAAGCTACAACAACACCAGAACGTTCAAATTTCAAATAAACTTGCACAAATAAAGTAATTTGTTGCAATAGCTAAAGCAACTATGAACTACGCTCATCCAACCCCAAAAATAAGGTTTTAATATACAATTCAAATCTCAATTTGATTAGGTACAAGCTAGCCATTGGTTGGAAGCTTACAATGAGACTGTTATGTGACCGTTTGAATCAACATACACCTATTAGGCTTAGGTAGGCCAATGCTCAATACAAAAGAGAGCACGATGGACTTTTAGGCACAGCAAGACAAATCTTTATTTTGTTAAATCATAAACAACAATTTTGAGTGCAAAGTATTATCCCTACAACAGAATGCTCGACCCAAAGGCATACGCAACATGATATATTGATTATATGTAAATCCTTCAAAAAACAACCTGAGACTCCTTGCCTTTGTTAATATAATCCAATAAAATGCATGAATAAGCCCATCAAAAGTCTTTGGGAAAATTATAAGGAAAAGGGTTTTAATAACAGAAGGGTTCACTAATTGATGCATATTGTGATTATGTAATCAATTGTATTGTGATTTAAAGGACACCCACCAAGAAAGGGATCTATTATTTCCCTGTATCCTACCCATGGAACCAAAGTTCTTTCCCAACACTTTTAAAGGTTCAAGTGTCCCACAATTCCAGTGCTTGCAAAGTACTGATTTTAAGCCAGTATATTTTCATGTCAATAAAATTCACACAAAACAAATCAAAGGCATTTATTAGCTCCATACTCCCATACTGACATCTATCACAATATAATTTTATAACTAGAAAAATATAGAGCACTGAGATTTAAAATCAAAACAAATATTAAAAAAAAAATGGGGAGCTATTTGGATATCCTCATTGTGTCATATAGAAATAGTCCGTGTTTTAAATGGCACGCTTAGAATAGGTGGAGGTGACAGCTTTTTTTCCGAGGCATGGGCTTCATGGGTTTTACCTATTTTTCTACTCCAACTTTTGAATAAATGCTTTTTATTTCTTTTTTGAACTGTAAACTAAAAGCTTAGTTGTTTTGAACTTTACATGAATGATCTCAAAACTTGAGGTTTTTGGTGGATGCGAATGTGATACTTTATATCTTTTGTTGGATATTATATTTCTAGTTTTTAGAAGATTAAATGTTATGTTTATCAATTATTTGAAATGGTGAAGTTTGCTTTATTATTTTTTGGAATTATATATATATTTGTTATGTTGAAAATTTTGCCTATTTTATAATTTTGGTTTTCTTCTACTACTTGCACCTCGTTTTGGTAATTTGTGTGCCTCACACATAGGCTATATTTATGTGTGTGTGTGTGTGTGGCAAACAAGAGAGGAAGAGTGATGGACAAAATTCGTGCTAACACGCTTGAAAATGTGACAGTCCTATTAGTGTTCATACCTCATTAATACCAGATATTCGAAGAGTGAAAACAAAATGACTTCTTGAAGACTGCTCATTCATCTGGGTCTTGCTTACAAACTTGAATGAAAACAAATACAAGTCTTGCAAATATAAACAGAAGGACATGGACGTTCTGGACCAAACAAACCCAATTTTTTTAAAAAAAAAAAAAAAACAAACAAACAAACAAGCAAACAAAAACACTAGCACATGATATATTGGTAACAAATAATTTATGCTAGAGGCCACAAATAAGATCCAAACTACTTTCTCAAAATAATCTTCTTTTGTAACTTGTAAAAGAAAAAAAATAAAACATAAATTTTTTTAAAGATTCATCATGCCTTTACTTGTTTAATTTTCACATGTGAGCACTAAGTTGTATGCACAACTCTACTTTCCTTTGTTAAACACAGCAAAAATTTCTAAGCAACTCTAGATCATATATGTTTTGAGTGAAAGCAGTAAACAATGGATCATATACTGAGCAGATTCAGAGGATATCTGATAGGTTGAGACAGTATGTAAAGATTGAAGAAAAGAATGTGTTTCATTGGTTTTAGAACCTTAAGGCTCGAGAGAGACAGAAGAAGAGGTTCACCACTGATATCCCCATGCATGGAAGTGGTGTTGTTGGAAATGGAGGAGGATGAGGAGGAGGTTGGAGATCTGAAGATCTTGTTTATAACAAGTACCCTAACATCAGCCCTGGTAAAGCATCAATAGTCTTCAACCTCTCTCTCTCTCTGTTTTCATTGTTCATTTCTCCACAATGCTTTTGTAGATGTACTTACAATATGTATATATATATACAAGAAACGAGAACCTGGCTTTGACATACAAGACAAGCTAAAAAACAATAGACCTACCCTGTGCAGATAAGTATCTGCAGAATCTGGCATGTCATAGTTGATGACAATGTTAACACATTCGATGTTGATTCCCCTACCAACCAGATCTGTTGCCACAAGTATCCTCTTGTGCCCCTCCTTGAAACCCTTGTAGCGTGTCAGCCTACAAAAGTTAAAAAGTGCATATATACATGAATATCCACATTAATAGAAAATATACAAGACAAGCTGTAGAGAAATGTTCATAATTGGTAATTCTCTAGTAAACTAAAACAATCTAAAAGACAAATGAAGTACAGCAATGGGATCCAATTAAAACTAGTGTGTGTGTGTGGCAAACAAGAGAGGAAGAGTGATGGACAGAATTAGTGCTAACACGCTTGAAAATGTGACAGTCCTATTAGTGTTCATACCTCATTAATACCAGATATTCGAAGAGTGAAAACAAAATGACTTCTTGAAGACTGCTCATTCATCTGGGTTTTACGTACAGACCTGAATGAAAACAAATACAAGTCTTGCAAATATAAACAGAAGGACATGGATCTTCTGGACCAAACAGCCCCCAAAGTTTTTTTTAAATAAATAAATAAATAACAAACAAACAAGAAAAAACACTAGCACGTGATATACTGGTAAAGTGGTAACAAATAATTTATGCTAGAGGCCACAAATAAGATCCAAACTACTTTCTCAAAATAATCTTCTTTTGTAACTTGTAAAAGACAAAAAATAAAACATAAATTTTTTTAAAGATCCATCATGCCTTTACTTTTTTAATTTTCACATGTGAGCACTAAGTTGTATGCACAACTCTACTTTCCTTTGTTAAACACAGCAAAAATTTCTAAGAAACTCTAGATCATATATGTTTTGAGTGAAAGCAGTAAACAATGGATCATATACTGAACAAATTCAGAGGATATCTGATAGGTTGAGACAGTATGTAAAGATTGAAGAAAAGAATGTGTTTCATTGGTTTTAGAACCTTAAGGCTCGAGAGAGACAGAACAAGAGGTTCACCACTGATATCCCCATGCATGGAAGTGGTGTTGTTGGAAATGGAGGAGGAGGAGGAGGAGGTTGGAGATATGAAGATCTTGTTTATAACAAGTACCCTAACATCAGCCCTGGTAAAGCATCAACAGTCTTCAACCTCTCTCTCTCTGTTTTCATTGTTCATTTCTCCACAATGCTTTTGTAGATGTACTTACAATATGTATATATATATATACAAGAAACGAGAACCTGGCTTTGACATACAAGACAAGCTAAAAAACAATTGACCTACCCTGTGCAGATAAGTATCTGCAGAATCTGGCATGTCATAGTTGATGACAATGTTAGCACATTCGATGTTGATTCCCCTACCAACCAAATCTGTTGCCACAAGTATCCTCTTGTGCCCCTCCTTGAAACCCTTGTAGCGTGTCAGCCTACAAAAGTTAAAAAGTGCATATAGACATGAACATCCACATTAATAGAAAATATACAAGACAAGCTGTAGAGAAATGTTCATAATTGGTAATTCTCTAGTAAACTAAAACAATCTAAAAGACAAATGAAGTACAGCAACCGGCTCCAATTAAAACTAGAACTCGACTTCCGAACCAAGCAAAAGAAGCAGTCAGTTCAAACAGTATTGTGCTTGAAATTGGATGACTAATTCTCCAACGCGAAGTGGTCTATTCAGATGATGGGTTAATGGTGAAACAAGCCAAATCGTAATTTATGACTGCAATTAACTTCTCCATGCCAAAAAAATGATAGTTGTCATAGCATAGCCAATCTTCATGACAAAAGAATTAACAGGCATAATGTGGTAGAACGTAGATTCAGAACATATCAGCAACTAAATGGCATATATACTACTAAAAAAATAACCATAAGTAAATGTGCATTTTCTAGAGGAATGTAAATATTTTTGCTATAATACAAACCTTTCTTCCTGGGACATGCCAGAATGGATGCAGATTGATGGAAAATTACACTCAACTAGCAATTTGTTCAACTCAACAGCTCTGCTTAAACTTTTGACAAATATAACAACTTGATTGAAGTCCAGTGCATCAAGAAGGTCATTCAGCTTGTGGTTTTTCTCAAGCTCACTCAATTTGATGTAGTGCTGACATGAGGAAAAAATTGAGAGGTAAGATAATGGTTAAAAATAAGGTAAAGACCAAAAACCAAACAAATTGGATGACTAATTCTCCAACGCGAAGTGGTCTATTCAGATGATGGGTTAATGGTGAAACAAGCCAAATCGTAATTTATGACTGCAATTAACTTCTCCATGCCAAAAAAATGATAGCTGTCATAGCATAGCCAATCTTCATGACAATAGAATCAACAGGCATAATGTGGTACAACGTAGATTTAGAACATATCAGCAACTAAATGGCATATATACTACTAAAAAAATAGCCATAAGCAAATGTGCATTTTCTAGAGGAATGTAAATATTTTTGCTATAATACAAACCTTTCTTCCTAGGACATGCCAGAATGGATGCAGATTGATGGAAAATTACACTCAACTAGCAATTTGTTCAACTCAGCAGCTCTGCTTAAACTTTTGACAAATATAACAACTTGATTGAAGTCTAGTGCATCAAGAAGGTCATTCAGCTTGTGGTTTTTCTCTAGCTCACTCAATTTGATGTAGTGCTGACACGAGGAAAAAATTCAGAGGTAAGACAATGGTTAAAAATAAGGTAAAGACCAAAAACCAAACTTGCAAAGCAATACCTGTACAAGACCATGAAGGGTCAATTTTGCCTCGTCATCAACATAAATTTCCATTGGCTGAAAGGAAGAAATGTCGCAGTAAAGGATATTAGGAGCCTTCCTGAAGGTAATGGAATCCAGCATGAAATGAATGATGGATGAACATCCCTTCAATCGAGATTCCGATCCATCTGATGTCTCCTTGCAGATATTCTAACTCACAAGAAGCAAGTCCACTGTTGCTCAACATATATACTATTATGTAACCAAAAGGAGCCATAGGTAAGACATCTAGCATCAACCCCATTAAAAACCCACACTCAAGGCCTAAAGTACACAAGAAAATAACTAGGGATGTGAACAAAAGAAAAAATAAGGTACCGAAGAATGAAGAAAGGTGAAGGAGCGCAAAAATTTTAGAAGGGTCAGGGAGCGTAGCCATGGTGTACAGAAAGGTAGAAATAGAACTTTGATAAGGGGTGGCTTGTGTTTGAGGTGGAACAGATTCAACCGGTACTATTTTCCTTTGTTACAACAATATCTTAACTGAAATAAACTAAGGAACTACACAAAGTAGGTAACCCAAAAAGTAAAGAAGAGCAAAACAACTCAAAGGTTAATTATGTATCTAATTTATCTTTCTTAATTCTTCACATAGCTAGTAACTTCAGAACTTGGTAATTTCCAACTTCTTTGAAGCCAACAAAACCTGGGATAATAGTAGAAACATGGAGCGAAAAAAAGCTTTCCTTTACTAAAGGAACAACCAATGAATTCGACACTAGACACAACCCCATGGTTATTTTGGCAGAAAAGCAATCCCATAAAAATGTAAGAAATGAACTTAGGAAGAAAGGTTGACAGTTTGTGTCGAGTACCTTGCGTCCTTGTCTTTTGAACTCTATAAGTTTTACAAAACCCAATAATGAATAGTCTACCGGCAAAAGTAAGCATAATATGGTTATTATATTTTCTTCAAAAAACAAAGTTCAAAAGACAAGGACACATGGTACTTAATCTACCAAACACATCTAATAAGAAGCAAATTTGTAGATATCTAATTCAAACACAGGAACGTTGAAGGCAAACCAAAGTTAGTATAGATTGTCACTTACTGAAAATTGTAAAACCACATCAGAAAGAACTTGAAAGGAATATCCCCGAGTAAACTAAGATATCAAGTCCCCAAGACTTGTAAATGTTGATATATCATAGCACATCATGAGCACTAAGTCCTTTAAAAACTTTTTACACACATACATCCAGAGAGATGCACACATACACACACACAAAAGGGAAAACATGCCCTGACTCCATTAAATGAATTAGACTTTAATTTTTTTTAATTGTACTCTAAGGACCTTACCAAATTCCACCAGTATCAAATATAATAGGCACATGGGAATATTAAGAGACATGAAGTCCACTACTGTGTGTTATGAAAAGAACAAGTCAACTCAATAAAGCATCGTGATTCATGATTGCAATTTTTTAGAGTAGATAGTATATCCTTCTACAAATGCATAAATCCTAATAAGCAAATGTAAGTAAATTATGCATTTCGTCACTCAAATAGAAAAATGAACATGAGAGTAGTTACAGATTTGATAAAATTGGTGTTGTTCATATATCAGAGTAGAGTATTACAAGTCTGGGAGAAAAAATTAGACCGGATCAACATGGAGGCCTACATTGGTCAAATGAGAGAAAACAACCAAGAGGGTCTCAATCATTACAAGAAACAACAATAACCCAGCAACCTATCTAACATGCTTGACAGAACGAGCATTTATAGAATGCGTAGATAGAGGCAGTAGTAGAAGAAGTGAAAATTGACAAACATAGATTCAGTTAAGAAATTGAGAGAGAAAAGCAGAGGCATTGAGATACAAAGCAAAAGGAAACAAACCGGTAGGGGCAGATTGAAGCACCGATCATCTCGCACGGCAGCAGCAAAAGGCACAAACCCTACGATCAAGAGTGAAATCGTGAAGGAGAGAGAACTACGAATTCTGAGATAAGGGTGTGCAAGAGTGAAATCGTGGAGATTGATAAGGCAAGATTTGATGAGGGAAAAAAATGACGAAATTTTAAGAGGAAAATGTCCACCGTCCGATCAGCAGATCACCCCCACCCCCTCAAAAAAAATCAAAACAATTTTTAGATTTGTTTTTTGAAAAAATTAAAAATAATTTTAGAGCAATAGAAATCAAAATTATATTTTTAAAATTTAAAAAAGTATTTATGACCTAAACGATAAAAATATACAAAAATAATAAGTTTTTTTTTTCACCCAATTTTTTTTTAGTTTTTTAGGAAAAAAAATTTGAAACTATTTTAGGAAAATAAAACCAAAAATATTGAAATTGATAATCTAACCATATTCTTTGAAATTTTTTAAATTATCACAAAATAGTCATCTCAACTTTAGAGTGTGTTTGGGCTCAATGGGTTCATTTTGTGATCTAATTCATTGATCATTTTAATTTTATAATTCAGTAACTAGAATATTTAAAACTCTTTGAAAAATTATAGTAAAAAACACAAATCACTAAATCACATCATTCCACTAGCAAAACATTTACCGACGAATAGTGTTATCGTCGCTAAATGGTTAACTGTTTGCCTACGCCAACTTGTCGTTGCCAAAAGTAAGCACACTAATAGCAAGGCTCATTGTGTTGCAAAAACATAAGCCTCGTAGCTAAAAGTTTTGATATTTTGGCACCAACCAAAAAATTTGGCGCTAAAAGAATGTTATGCTTTTTTAGCGACGGTAGCAAATTGCAACGGTAAAGGTATACTTTTACCAACGAAATTGATCACTGTGTCACCAAAAATATACTTTTGGCGATGAAAAATTGACGTCGTCGCCGAAAGTAGTCACCAAAAGTGCAATTTCTTGTAGTGAACGAGGATAGAGAGGTTCTCTTCTTTTAATGCATAAGAAATGAGTATAAGCTATCCAAATCCACGAGCGATACTGTTGAGAGGGGAGATCCAGTCTGTCCTCGAGGAGGAAGCCATATCCGGGCTTCTACGCCATCAAAACTAGCATGAATGATAAAAACGACAAAAACTCTAGTGAGAGGAGGAAGATTCTCATTCTCCCACTCATGAAAAGGAGTATAAAATGTTGAAATCCATGTGAAATAGGTTCGGAAAGAAAGAATCTGTCACCTCTCAAAGAGGAAACCCTACCTTGGTTTCTAACCTATAAAATAAAAAATAAAGCAATTCGGGCACGGCCAAAGCCTTTATATAGGCCTCCACTAACTATTGAAAGGGAAAAAAATTGAGAGAGTCCAACTAAGCTAGCAACAATTCAATCAACAATCCCAAAAGATCTATAAAATAGAATCCAAAAGAGAGAGTAGATATAATGGCTCGGGTCATGATTTGACCCTTATTCTTGTCCGTATAAAGACGGTTGAACTAGAAAGTTTTTCTGTCAAATATTGGACTTAGCCTAAAAATTTTCCAAGTGTAAAAATTTGATGTTTCAAAACTTACGATTTAGGAAATAATTTTTGGAGGTAATTGTTCCTTTTATATTAAATAGTCTAATTTTATTTTATGTGATTTTTCTAAGAGGTATTAACCACTTTACTTCAATGCTAAACCTAGAAATTTCAATGGAAAAATTATTTTTATACTAAAATTGAGGGAACTACTTTATAATTTTATTAGATTCTGATTTTTTTGTATTTTTCTTTGAATCCAAATGGGGGTATTTCCTTATTTACATTGTAAATTTAAGTAAATGAAATATAAATATAAGAGGCTAAACAAAAGTATTTACTTAAATGGTTACATATGAAAATAAGGTTGATGTGCTGGGGGTGCCTTAGGAGCTGAGCCTATATGTCTAGCTATGTCCTGGGAGTCAACTCAAGCTGTTGGTTTACCACTCAAGCGGTGAGGAGGGTGCATCCAGTAGTTTGCTCTGCAAACTGAAATGCTGAGAGATTGAGTTCACCACTTGAGTGGTCCTTCCACCACTCGAGCAGTCTGCGCATTTTTAGCCGACTTAAAAATCACTTTTGCTCCTTTCTTTCTCTCTCTCTCTCTCTCTCTCTCTCTCTCTCTCTTCTTTTGTTTAAAAAACCCTAGCTCTAAACTTTTGATTTCACCCATTTCCACTAAAGCTCCACCTTAGATCGTGCAAGAAAAGTGAAGAGGTAGTGAAGATCAACGATCTTGACTGATTGGATTGCGATTTCATCAAACTTCTTTCTTGGGTCTTCTTTGTTGGCTCTCATATTTGAGGTAGGAGATTCTCTTAACCCTATATGTTTTGATTTGGTGCATTTTGTAACATTTTGGGGTTATGGGTTGGTCTGAGTTACAAAACTTTGATTTAAAAGATGTTAATGTACAAAGATAGGGTTTTCACTCAAATTTTTGAAATCTTTTGAATGTTCAGACATATTGATGAATAATATTTGATGATTTGAGGATTTGAGGAAGAAATGAGGAAAGCCTCCAATTTTCCTGAAACCCTAGATTTGGAATTTTTTATTTAAAAGAGGGTTTGAAATAATTGGTACTTTATGTTGAAATTTCAATTGATTTTCCTTAAATATATGTAAGTGGGATGAATTTTTGATTTATGATAATATTATTGAGGATTCATGAATGTTGAATCGTGTGGAAACTTGGGAATGTTGGAAGGGTGTAAAGTTAATATTTTGCATGGAATTATTGTTGGTAATGAGAAATACTTGAAGTCATGGAAAAGAGAATATTTCATTAGTTTTTACTTGTTGGATTCTAGTCAATATTTGTGAATCCATGCATCGCATTGCATTTTCATGGTTTTGGACTAGGTGCCTGGTGATTTAAAGGTGTGTGTGTGTTTTGGAAATGCGTTGTGTGTGTTGAGGTGCCTAATTGTCCTTCCGTGCTCGAAGGTCGAAAAATGTGGAAATGTTATCGGTACATTGTTATGGTGCCCAATTGCCCTTCTGTGCTTAACGCCGGTAAATGTGGGGAATATGGTTAAATAGGTTGCTGAGTGTCCAATTGCCCATTCGTGCTCGCTAGCTGGTGTGGCTAGTTGCTCGCGCTCCTCA